GGGAGGTTGAAATAGCCGTCAATTCGTGCAAAGAGCAACATGTGTTGCACTTGCGGTCGCCAAACAGGAAGGCCACACACAGGGATGGGCACCTAACGTGCAGTACCTCTGTGAGAAACCGTAGGAACATATGAGGCGGTAGATATTGCGAGTGTTTGCACCTCCAAACCAGGCGTATAAGGCGCATTCGGTAAAGTTACATAATTCAAAATATGGCTTGCGGGCAATCCTCGCAAAAATCAAGGCTATGGTGGATTTGCCATCTCATTTATGAATATGGTTTGACCAACTACCAGAACAAGTATAGTCCAAGCTATATCGAAATGGTTCCACGCCTCACTAATCTCCTTTAGAAATGCGATGGCCCTCAAGGTAGAAAAACTATATCGCTGCATTAGTTCCGGCTCTTTCAAATTCAAATCGATCATTCTGTGCCATCTGTGACGCTTCATCCTTTGCCGTTGAGACGGTGTTAATAAGCATGATCGCAAAATTCGCCAGCTTAAGCGTCACAGATAATTATGGAATTTGCCACTTATGACCTTGTCTATTTTTAAGTTCTCGCACATGTCAATAAATTGTTTTTGATCAATACAGATCGTTTGTCACAGCCACAGGATGGTCTGACTTTTCTCGCTGAGCATACCCTTAAGGCACTGGAACGGCTTGGTGTGGTGGTGGACACGCTTTTGTTTCACCCGCACTGTTAATGTCGCATGTCACGATGTTGACTTCGCCAGATAATATTAACGAAATATGAACGGCGTACGGGTGAATTGCAACATGTATTGCATAGCTAAAAGCTCCGAGAGTATGGAGGCTGGAACTCAAATGTCGCGTTGTTATGGCTTTGGCTGCACGTTCGCACCGCTGTTTTTGATCGCGAGGCTAGGTGCTGCCTCAGGGGATCACGCACAGAATACCACAGGAGACAAATGTTTTCCTTAAAGTGAACAAAGGAGCTGTCCCAAACTTTATGACTCACATGGCATTATTCGAGCACGCTATGAATACATTCATACTTTTATAATATCAATAGGAAGACGACCCACGAATTTCTGAGCCTCAGCGTTATACCTAATGGCAACCTTCCCAAATCCGTTATACTGCAAAACCGTGCGAATCACTTGTCCATTGCGAAAAGCGAAAACAATGTCCACAGAACAAAAAGATGGTGCGGTAATTTATAGGGTGAAAACAGACATTCTTCTCAATGATCGCTATGTTAAGGTGGTTCAACATATATAACTTTTGACAGGTATGAAACATATCAACGAAGAAGACCATCGCCGCATGCATTGGTACATATGGCCTGCCCGCCGGTTGAAGTAGAGTGAGGGCCCTTCAAAAGTATGTACTCTTTAGCTTTCGAAAGATGCATGCAGTAATAGTGACATTGTGGTCTCAGCAGCTTTATGAGCAAAAGCCTGACAGTAAAACTATGGCCAGTGAGAACACATCTAAGCTGATCATCAAAATTCTTTTTGCCAGCATGGATAATATAACGGATTTACACGTCCCTTTGTAAGAAAGGGCGGGTCGCACAAGATTGTGCTAGTGTGTAATATACGGTTAGTATAATAACACAGTGGTGTGGCTACACCGTAACAAAAAGTTACCACGTGGCAGGATTGCCAGTAGTAATGCATATTAATATACAAAAATTAGTTTGCTATATTAATTAGGTATTATTATATTAATTACGTATTACTATAGTAATTAGGTAGACCTAGAATTTTAGATATTGGCGGCTCTACCGCAACTAAATAATTTTATACAGTTTCGTTTCTGAACAAAAGTGTTCGTTTGCCTTGGTAAGGCTTTAGACTTAGAAGTAGCGGATTGCGATCCGCTACACTAGTACTGATTCTTGGAAAGAACGTAGGGTCGGTGATCTTAGCTAAGCTTTCTCTGAGCAAAGAGCTACGGCAGCTCCGCTCACTTGATAGCACTATTAGTGAATCTACGCCTGAGTCTTTACGACTGATCTTCAGTGAGGAAGGGGGAATACTCCTATGTGCCCCAGGACATACAGGACGGGCTTGATAAGCTGATGTCTCTGTTGGGCCCTGGGCTTGTGGAGCACCTCGTTGCGCAATGACCCGAGGCTATAAGCGCGCGCCTAGATACGCTCTCTAGCCATGAAAATGCTCTGTTAGATCGCTTACAGCAGAATCCTTCGATGTCGACGGAGGATTCCTTGCAACCCAGGCCGCTCATGATGATCGTTAAAGACCTTCGAGAGTTAGGATGGGGGAAAATCTTTCTCTGGGTGAGAGGGACCGAGATGGCTATGGCATCCGCCATGCTCCAAAACGAACAACGGCGCGTGGCGCTAGCTATCTCCAAGCTTGAGGGCCGAGCGCAAAAATGGGAAAAATGTGTGGTGTTTCGCTTCAAGCTGCGTTCCTCATCCGCACAGCGGTAGGCGACCTCGGAGAGATGCTCGGCAGAGTACCGGTAACAACGGACTTTGGCCTCCAACGCTCGAAGAGCATCACGAGTCACCGGACAGCGGTAGACCAGGTCGCCGCCGACTCTTCTCGACGAGAATGGTGGCATCCACTACCACGTGGAACGCCTTGTGGGTCGACGGGTTTAACTTAATATCTTGTAAAGTGGCGGGGATACCCAAGCTTCGATAACTCGTGGAAGTTTGAGGTGCCACTTCAGCAAGACTGCCCAAACGTCGTAGACGCTTCTGACCAGAAGTACCATGACGTTTCACGTTGTCTTGCGCACCGCGCTTCTCGGCAGTAGCCCAGGAAGCCGAAGGGCCATGAGCCGAACTCAAGCTATAGCCCTGAGCTGCTGCGGTCGTAGACTCACCCGTGTGGGAAACAACAGACTTCGCAGTAGCGTTATGGATTGTTCCATATGTCGTAGGGCGACAATACGCAGGAAGTTGGCGTTGCGCCTAGAGTTTGGCAAAGTCAAATCTAAGATGGCGCTCTACGCGCACGTCCACGTCCTTGTGGCCTCGCACCACAGGGATGGTCCGCATTGCGGAAACAGAAGCACAGCCTTTTTGCACCGATCCATTGGGATCTCGTTGTGTACCAAAAAGCAAGTTCGCAGAGCTTTCCGATGGTCAAGCTCACCTGCGTAGTGGCCGAAGGCCCGATTACGTAGACGCCTAACGATCGAGTGACCGCGTCTTTCGCTTCAGTAGCGGGATCCGAAACCGTATTCCACACGGGGGCCTAGGACCAAAATATGGATACGAGCGCATGAGAGCATCCTGTGGACAGCCTTTAATTGCTACTCCTGTGCTTCGTCGATTGGCAGACATACCACTTCCCCCGGAAGCCGAGAGGTCGAAGAACGAACATGGTGTCCGCAGGGTTTGAGCTGGGCTCACGTCGTGCCGTTGGCGCACTTCATCTTCCTCGTCATCCCATGCTGGGAAAGGAGTGTCCGGCTCGTAGTCGACTTCCTCCGACTCCTCGACGAGGAATTCTGTCGCCCGGGGCTGGCGAGTTGTGTTGCACCCAGTTGCCGAGGGATCGAAATGTGCTCTCCGTAAAGCCGTGACGTACTATCCGGAGATGCACGCTGTGCTGAAGAAGAAGGGCTTTGCCCGCGGGCGCCCTCGCTACCAGCTAGGCTGGGTATTTTGCGTGTCGTAGACACAAGACTCATAGAGCGGAGAATGTTCAAAGTCGTTCTTAATGAACGTTAAGGTGTATCAGACACGCGAGCCTCAAATGAGGCGACCGTTATACGTGCATTGTGGTTATTCGCAGTTTTAATGGGGAGTGTGTAACGGGCTTTCACGCACCCTCGTATGGAAGGGCAGGTCGCACAAGATTGTGGGACCGTATTACACAAGTAAGTGTAATCACACTGTGGTGTGGCTACACCCTGACAAGAAGCCACCAGTTGAGTTGCAGCAATCGCGTGTTGTGGCGCGGGGATCCACTCAACCGGCTGACTCGTGAGATACTGAATTTAATGAACACTGATATAGATCGTCGTCGCAATGGACATTAATGCCAGCTCGAACATTCCCAATTCCTTTTTGATGCTATGGTGGCATCGACCGCAATAAAAGCCACGAATTCAATACTGTCGCCGAAACTAAAATGTAGCGAAATGCATGACGATTACGTACTGATTGCTATCATGCAAAAAGTCACTTAATGAATGTTAGCTTTTGTAAAAAGGTCTTAGCGCCTTCGGTAAAAGATTTCAAACTTTTTGTTTCTTAGTTTATCGGTAGGCGACGAGACGAATATCGTGGAGAATACAGTAGATGAAATTGCTAGTTTGCGTCGAGTGGGATCAATGATTCAAAATGCTCTAGCAAAATACCTTTGATGTTGCAGATTGCTTTGTAGATACCCAAGACATAACGCAATCAAGAATGCAAATAAGCACAAGGAACAAAAAGTCAAAATAATTTGTAAATTCTAATAGTAGTATTCATGAACTTTTCTTCGGATCTTGTCATTCAGAGCCTTGAAAATGAGGTGGAGAACATGATTTAGAGGCTCTGCAAGCACAACGAATTGACAATTTGCTATCAGAGTGTATTATGGCGACTTTTGAGAGCAAGTTAACTGTGATTTGATGAATGAAAATAGTATTTAAGACTTCCGAAGAGCACTGAATAAACAGTGCTGCGACTAACAGTGCCTGCAAACATCAAATCACGTAGCCAGGCTGTCTGCTGTTTTACCAGTTTTAATATTGCATTTCAAAGAAGTTGTATGGTCTAATGAGCTGATGCGTTAAATCTTTTTGTGTAATTTTGCCAGGTGCCACCCCCGATGTGACCGGTAATGCACGTTAAATTCCGATACGTCTCACTCGCTGTTCTAACTCGCTTATCTACCGGCTAATTGGATCAGAAGATAATGCTTTTGAACGTTCACCAAAACGTTTAAATAAAGAATGGTGTGTGACAAAAATATTGGAAGATTAATAATTTTTGCTAGAATTAAATCATACGAAACGTAGCCTTGGAAAAATGGAGACTCCTTATCACCACACTAACGCTAGTGCTGTGGAGTAAAAGTCGTAAGAACCTATTTTGGCGTTTCAAAATAATTTGAACAACCAGTGTGCACATGAATACGTCTAGCACGGATGACTTACGTATAAAATCGAGTATGTTTTCATTACGGATGCTGCAATGACACCTGTGTCGTCCCACCCAAAAATCTGACTTAAAACAATATTCGCCGTATCTGATGCATAATTATATCCCGTTCCTGAAATCTCGATTAGTACTTCCATTTTGAACGCGAGGTAACTATCGACATTGCTACGTACTGTTCCATGCGAGAGAAGTTAAAGTCCCAAATTCTGCACCATTTTTCCTCGTGCCTTGTCAATGGTCATTGCAAAAGCTGGCTGCACTGGAACCGACGGAGCCGAAGGCAAGATGGAAAATTAAGCGAGTCACCATCAATGATGAGCAAGATTTATATTAATACATACTGTCCTCGGCGCTTAGTTTTCCTAGAAGGAGCATAAATAATTTGAGGCCTTTAGTTCGACTGTACAAAGATGCATTCGTTACAACATCCTAGATCTAAGTTTGCATTTTTCATTTTCCTGATAAGGATTCTTTTCAAGGCGTCACCCTGGGCGGTGAAGTTTCGTAAAGATTGATAGTAAGTGAAATCTTGCTTTTGAAAAATAGTTTTATCATCGTCTGCGTCCAATCAATTGCTTAGGAAATACTGGTGTAAATGATGTTAACTTTACACCGCTGAATGCATGTGGATGATGTCACAAGAATTACGGTCATGTTTACAATTACTATCGTGATTACGGATGCTGATTACGGACATAGTTATTTTGAGTTTAAGCCTACTTTATGCACTTATTTGATTAATACTACGGCTCTTTGAGGATGAAGCTTGAAGCCAAAAGCTTTGAGTGCATGTTTCTGGTTATGTCAAAGACATCAAGGGATACCGAGTTTGAGATTTGGAGAAAGACAAGATATCAGTATCACGGTGAAGCGGGCGGCATTTATGAGACGCACCCACCCAAACAAGTAAAATTGATACACGTAACCAAGAACAACGATGAAAGTGTTCTGGTCGACAAAACACCAACAAGATCAATATGAGCCTATGGAGTGTGAAGAAGAAGAAGAAATTCCAGATGATCCAATGAATGAGGAGGAGTCGGACATAAATGAATAGATGATCGAAGTTCTTCGACTACCGGCCTCAGTACGCTCTGAACTGACAGAGTACAGAACTCCTACATCGGATGCACAGGAAGATCGACTCGTTTTTCAGCCGCAAGCGGAACGATCAAGGCGTACACGCGAACCAATGTTGTTGTTGGAGAACATATCAGATGCCGTAGAATGTTTGGAAGGAAGCGAAGGGCCACCATCTCCAGAGCGTGCAAGGATTGATGATGACGGCCTTCTGGCTGAAGCTGTTCTTGCTTACGCTGTAAGTGTTGGTGAAGAATCGGGCTTGCCTACCACGTATGCGCAGTCAATGGCTAGTGACGAAACAGAACATTGGCGACAAGCGATGAACGCCAAATATCAATCGCATCGCCAGAACAGAATATGGACACTCTTTCCACGAGAATCAGTTCGACGTACAATTGGATGCCGCTGGGCCTTTGCTAAGAAGCGTTGCCAGAAAAGATGTATTGTGCGCTACAAAGCACGATTGGTGGCTAAAGGATTTAAGCAGTTATACGGTGTGGATTTCTTCGAGGCTTACTTTCCAGTGGCCAACTTGAACTCAGTTCAAGTTGTACTCGCAGTGTGTGCTGTATTATGCTACAAAATGGAGCAGCTGAACGTTGACACGCCTTTCTCAACAGTGTATTGTCGGATCGTGTTTACATGGAAGTTTCGATTGGTATTAAGGGAACTCAAGGATTTGTGTGTCAATTGATCATAGCTATATATGGACTCAAGCAAGCTGCAAGTGCCCGGAACAAGACGAACGATCACGTCTTCAAGAAGAACCATTTTAAATGTTGTGGAGCGAATCAATGAGTATACGTAAGGAAAGTTTAAGAAGGTTTTGTGTACGTTAGTCTATTTATCGATGCTACGATTATTGCAGCCAGGACGAGCAGCAAGATTCTAGAGGTCAAGGGGATGCTGAACAGTGTTTTCAAGATGAAGGATCTCGGTATGGCGAAGTTAACCTTGGGCATGGAGATCGACCACGACAGGTCAGCTTCCACACTAATGATCAGGCAGACACGGTACATTATCGACGTGGCTGAGCGATTTGGACAGAAAATCCGTTGACAATCAGTTCACGTCCAGTCTCAAGCTGTCAACGTCACAGCCACCAAGTACAGAAGCTGAGCATTCAGAGATGCGGTCAAGAGCATATCGCTCGCTGGTTGGATGTCTGCTATACATTAGAACTTGCACTCGGCCGGCCATTGCATATATCGTTATACAGCTGTCTCGATTACTTGAGAATCCCAGGTTACCACATTAAAATACCGCAATTTGCGTTCTACGCTACTTAAATCCAACACGTAGTCACGAGATCATTTTTCAAAGAAGGACTGGAAGGTGAATATAGAAGGGTTTTCGGATGCAGACTGGGGTAGCAATACCGACGACAGGTCTCAGGTGTGTTGATCAATATTGGAAAAGCTCCGGTTGTGTTCAAGTCCAAGTATCAAAGAAGTGTCGTACTAAGTTTCGCAGAAACAGAGTTATGGCGCTAAGCTTGTGCACACAAGAAAGAACTTCTAGACGCGCGCAATGCTCAAGGACATGGGTCAAGAACAAGTGGGAGGCACGCGAATTTGAGAGGAAAATCAAGGTGCGATAGCTTTGGCAAACAATGCGGGCTACCACGCTCGTACAAAGCATGTGGACATTAAACCTCACTTTATTCGGGATATGTTCAGCATTTGGGTGCTCAGGTTTGGCTACATCGATTCAAAGCGTTAGCTTGCAGATATGCTCACCAAGGCACTTGGGACCAAGATGCTCATGTTTATGCGCGAGGCAACAGGCATCAAAACCAAGTCAGCAACAAAGTGCACTCAACATTAGCGGTTAGTGGGATTGTAAAGCTTACACCGCTGAATGCACGTAGATGACGTCACAAGAATTACGGTCATGTTTACAGTTACTATCGTGATTACGGATGCTGGTTTACGGACATAGTTATTTTGAGTTTAAGCCTACTTTATGCACTTAATTTGACTAAGTACTACGGCTCTTTGAATAAATCCCGCCACGGGCATTTAATCCGCCGATATTCTTTTGATGAATTTCATGTAAAAAGTTTCACCTTCATTTTCACACCACAGGGCAAACGTTTCACGGCACATGCTAGCCACACCAGGACAAATTGAACATTGCACACAGTGTATATGACCAAATGTATGTGCTGTTTGTATATTTCGTTATCTTAATGTGATAAAGAGAGATTACCATAATGGGTAAAATAATACGGTGGTTAATGATGAGGATTAGAATTAAAGGGTAAGGTGGAGCCAGCAGTGATTTTTTTAGATAAGACGGCTGTGAGTAGGTGCCGTTCTATGACTACGTAGTGACGACCCCCTTCAATGAATCTCAGATGCCAGGCACTTTTAACGGGACGTATATATTTGCTCATTTAACGAAATTTTATCGCTTAAATTTTGGTCAAAGTAACAACTTTGGTACTGTACCTAACCCGTCCCTAAGCGCCCATGCTCACCCGCCTGATGTATGGAAAGTCTCATCACAATTTGGGGTATTAAGGAGACTCGTGCGGCATAAAAAATTGGAATAACCGGAACACCCCTTTTTTCAGCCTTGGGCAGCGCTTGAGACAGAGACCGGCATATGCAAAGATTTTTTTTGCTTCAGTGGCGGAGCGGCATGCGGAACACGTATGAGGTGTCTGACAATTTGTTTGTATATATACGGTAACCATGCTCCAGAACGAGCAACAACGCGTCGCGCTAGTTATCTCCAAGCTCGGAAGTCGGGTGCGGGAATAGGCACTGATGTGCGGCACTTCGGTTAAGGCGGCCTTTTTCTCCTGGACGGAGCTGAAGCTGCAGCAATCACGAGTGTTCTCGCCGCCTAACCAAGCATATCGCATTCGATCGCGTTTCCTTGTCGCCCGACAGGGCAAGAAGCAGTTGGTGGACTTTGACAAAGAGTTGCGAACTCTCATTGCTGGGAAGGCAGCCGATCCCCCCCCGTTGCGGTCACAGTGACCGTCTTTTTCGAGGGCCTCCGCACTGGCGTGGTCAGAATGGAAGTCTTCTGTGCGCATCCGTCTTTTTTTGAAAAAGCGGTGGATGTGGCATAGAATGCCAGATATAACACCAAGTAGACCTGATTGGAATACACATCATAGTAGCTTGTTGAGCGGTAATTCTCAGCTATACTGAGAAAGTGAAGGCAGAGCCACGAGCTACCGGGCAGCGTTCGAATACCCGACGGTGTTTTGTCTGTAAAGCGTAAGGCGCGTCATAGTCTATCGAGATGACGTCTCGCTTCTCACCAGTCTGGTTCGTCGCGGGTATACGACAGCACCCAGTAGGTGCGGTGCGGCCTTCTAAACCCTACAATCGCCGCTGTTCTTAGTGCTGTCGGTACTCTTGCCTAGTTAATTACTCTTGTTTGATTCAGCGCTCAGGGAAACTAACATGCCCGTCTGCAAGCTCACGCAATCATCACGTTGTGGTTTTTGGTCTCGATGCTGCAAACCAAACCTAACGCATTGGCGAACTGCTAGGAGCCAAATGAGCACTCGAAAGCCGCTTCACGCGCGTGTCTGACCCGCAAGTCACAACACCTTGGGGTATCCCCTACACTGGGATCAGCAAAGGTGGGGGTAAATCCATTTCTGCCATGATGATCGTACCTTTGATACTGAATACTGGCAAAATCGCCGAGGAGTATCGAACTCAGTTTACACACTGTATAAGGAATCTGCGCTGCCCATCCACCTAGCTTTAGAAACCAGATTTGACGTAGTAAACTTTTGACTAGGGCGGCGTGACCTCACGAAGCACAAACATAATGTGGACGTGGAGGTGAGAATCATCATACCAAATTCTTGTTGCTAACAGCCTCACTCATCTCCGTGAGCTAGCCGTTACGGCTATCAATTAAGTCCCAAGCTTGGTATAAATTCAGGACGCACTTGTTTGTAACATCAGCAAAATCGTGTAGGATAGATGTGCTCGCATTTTCTTCGGTAGCTTAATTTTGTTTTTGCTGCGGTCGTGGTTATATACATATGGAACACGTTTATCAGCACAAATGTAATGATACACTTCGACCCAGCGATTTATACGTGCGAGTGCTTCGGAGGTAGCCATCCACTCATTTAAAACGTTTTCTGATCGACCTTCTGATTATGACTAGCGTTGAGCATATCTAATCTGTTGCTTACCTACCACCTTTAACATAATCTCCAAAAACTAACAAACGTGAATCACAACCTGATACTTTGACCACAGGTAAACTGCAGCGAGGCTGTCGTAGCACTTTGCTTAGAGCTAAGGTAACCGACGTTACGATCTTTCTAAGAACCAGAGTGCGGACCGCGATTCGCTACTTCTAAGTTCTAAAGGCAAACGAACACTTCTGTTTAAAGATGCAACTGTATTATATTGTTTAGTTGCGGCAGAGCTGTTAATATTTCAGACCCTAGGTTTTCCTAATATATATAGTACACTTAATTGACTTCTGGCAATCCTGCCACGCGCTCCTTCGTCTGCTACGGTCAGACCTCGGTATGCACGCGACGTCATAAAAAAATCAGCTACTCGCAGTTATCTCGATTCATTATCAAGCTGAGGCGAGCAACCGAAGAAGTGAGGGGTCATTCGGTATTTGCGCTATTTTTTAGAAATGACTTAACTTCTTGAGAAAGTAGGATTGAAGAAATGGATATTTAAGACTAGTCCGATTGATTATTGCTTGACTTTTTGAAATTGTGGACTATTGCAAGCCCAGTACGGTATGACATATTTTTTCTATTCTTTCATTACTTTTAAATATATTCGGAATAATATTTCTACACAATCATATGTTTCATAGCTAATTAGTTTGTCATGGAATCAAAAATTAGAAAAATGGCACTTGCTCAAACCTTTTTGATTGTATGCTTTGTGATTATTACTCGAGCGAGAGCTTGCATTGAGCCACAATTGTTTCGTGACGGCTATCTTTGTGACATCAATTGAAACATGACTCTAGCAAGTCAAAAAAATTAAGTAGTTTGCTTAAATTATCAATGACAAGAGAAAAAATCCAAGTTCGTTGTTATTTTTGATGACTATATCATCTCGCTTTAGCGCATGTGTAGAAAATTGTACAATCTACACTTTGTTGATCATTAATCTTCACTAATAATATAATGCTATTTCCTAGGACGGCTCATATAAATGAAACTATTAGATTATATTACCCCCTAATATCACGCGCACAAGACCCTTGCAATTGTACCAAATGTAAAATGCTTACCTTCCCAACCAAGATGTGAACCATACTGGGGACAAAATGCATTTTGTCTCCACTTTCACTTTGTGTGGACCGTACGCAATGACTTTTTTTAAGGCCTAGCGCAAAAGGCGCGGCTGCTTTTCTGAAAGTGGGAGACCTAGACTGTCTTGAGCTTGGTGCTGGCGCTGCTCGAGCTCCTGGAGCGAGTGCTTAAGACCACGAACTTTGCGGTCTGGCCAGTGTCTAATACCAATAACATGACACTTAAATGCCGCTGTTCAATCTGGCTTCATCATCACTCTCCTTGGTGAAGGTACAATCATGCTGTATAATCTTTGCTCTCAACAACAGCCTTACCAACGCTGGTTATGAGTCTTGGCCCGGGCAATAGTATCGACTTAATGCAATTTGCCAACCTACTGCAAATAAAGTGTCTGCAATTTATAGACCACGATGTAGCCGTGCTATATAGGACCGTGAGCGGTCGAATAAAATAGGGGTTGAATTGTCTTCTGACTATTCCGACGCAAATACAAACACATCCAGTGTTCTAATTGGCTTGCTAAAGTCATACCACGATTTCGCTCTTGTGAGCCTTTCGAACGTTGAGAAATCTGTTGTTGACGAAGCAATGCCACCACCATCCACGATAGCTGGGCTTCCCTCTGCTCCAAAACAGCGATGCGGTTTCGGACCGCTGGGGGTGCCTCGAGCTAGGCTGTGCGATGATCAAACTCAAAAAAAAATCCAAGAAATGGTTTTTTCAGCCTTGGACGCACGCTGTGTCCCTTGGGTATAATCAACATCGTTACAATCAAAAGATCCCACAAGAGCCAGACGCGAGATGGTCGATCTCCGCAGCGCTACTCGAGGAGCAAGAGGCGGCCCACTTTCGCGTTTGGTGTGCCGGTAGATACACCAGGCCTTTTACTCGTATCGTGTGAAGTTGACACTTTCATTCGAAATGCTCGTAAAAGCTTGAGGATACTTCGGTGAGATGTCGTGGCCACTTACGACCTGGCGCACCCTCCTCGTTTCTTTGACTATCAGAAAAGGTAAAGTCCTTCATCTATGCGCGTTTCTCAGTGATGCGAGGGAACCGACCTCGCTGTAAAAAAGACCTTTGGTCGGTCACTGTTACAGCTGTCATATGGAAGCGAGTAGAGATGTGAGCAAAACCTTGAGATGATCGATTGTCACCTCGACGTCCGCTTTGAACTTTGTACTTGGCGAAGTCAAGTGAGAGATAGCACTATAGAAGGAAGTAAACTTTGCTAAAACCAGCTTGTAAAGCCATAAGGCGGATGATGTGACATATATTTCACCTAATCACAAACTGAGTTTGATCCTTATCGGCACATTTGCCAGCTTCAAATTTATTTACGGAGGGCAGGGTCATTCGGACGGCTGATGCTCTCTGTGCAAACGGTTCTCTCGGGAAGTGATGGCATGTCTGTATTGAATTGCTCACAGGGTAACTGTCTTACGCTCGTTTGTTCTTGGTGTGAGCGAAAGGCCCGCATGTTTATGCGTGTAAGAGCTCCGTACCAGCGCGGCCAGCAAACTCGGGCTAATTAAACGGTGGTTACGACGTTATATGGGCAAGAGTTGGCGTGACTCTCGCGCTTGCACTAAAGCAAGTACGGATTCATGAGCAAAGTCCAGTTTTGTTACACGACAAGATATTGCCACTTTTATCCGATAAAGTATCTGACACTTGTGTAGCGAGAAGCCGAGTGAAGTGAGCGCCTGTGCGGCTAGGAAGTGTATTGTCGGGTGAGGGCGGAGGCGTTTAGCTGGAAGTCGATAATTTCGACCACCATTCTCATTGGAGAACAGCTCGGCATCCCCATCAAGAATTTTTGCTTAGCGCTTCAGTGGTGAAGATCGCACTCGTGTCGGGGATCTGATTAGGTGGGACTCTGGTGCTATTACCTTTAGAAAAGCAGGCACAGTAAAGTGCAAGGAATCAATTTGAGCCTCAAGCCCTTAATAGCTATTGATCCAGCCCAAATGCCTTCTGTTACCCAAGACCTATGGGAAGGATCCCTCCGGCTAATTGCTGCATGAACATATATTATGCTTTCTTAATCTATCACATCAATAAAATACGATTGGGCAAAGCCTGTAGAAGCATTTACTGCGAGGTTTTATGCACAATAAATGAGTTGGAGCGACTCGCTGCAGCACCGCAGTCTCTTCACGCAAGTGCCCTGGAGAATATTCGTCACATCGCGATGTAAGCGTTCGGCCCAGCCAACTGCTTTCCAATGGTCAACGATTAATATATCTATTCTGGTGCCAAGCAGCTTGATTCATGTTTGCCAAAAGTTTGCTTTGAAGTGCACATCTCTATCCATAACGGCAAAAAAAGTTTGTCGAGAACCAGCTTGGCTGTTTCCTCACCGATCACATTGTCGCTGATAGCAGCAAATCGAACCATCTTGCTCAGGCAGTCCACAGACACAAAGATACCGGTATACTTACGGATGTGGCTTTTGGGAGACCGAATGTAAAGTCTTTATTGACAGCACTCTGCTAGGACCGACAGGCTGGCAAAAGGCGCTGCCACTTGCGGAATAGATCAATCCGCTAGCACGTTATCGCTGCACAAATATGTGCTTGCCCACTTCTGCGTGCTAAAGCTACCAAATACATAGCGCTCCGAGCAGTATGTCTTCCTCTTTCGAGATGGTCACCTAAAGAGTTGTCATGTTTCTCATACCTTTATGTTATGTAGTCCTCGTCATGAGGTACAACTTCACGCTGAGTAACAATGCTGTGATACAGCAAGCATTCGGGAACGACGGAGCGGTGAAGATGTGAAACCGCGCGCTTTAATTTAGCCGATTTTAAGTTTGAAAACAATTTCTTTCCTAAAGCTTCAGCAGCGCAGCATTTATTGCCTTTTACGTATCGCCTTATAAATTGGCACCGTCAGCGTTGTTACAAGCGACAAGTGAAGTCGGACCGACGCAAAAGTGCATCCGCCACTGCATCAAGCCGGTCCGGCTGATATTTCATACCTTACAGCTGTATTCGGTAATACGAATTGCCACCATAACTTAACTGAGAGATGTGTGGCAAAGACGTTGCTGCGCGCAACGACGCATGACCTGTACAGATCACAACTGGCTTAGCACCAAGTAAGTGCGCCTTAAATTTGGCAGGGGCTTCTTTCATTGCAATAAGCTCATTGTTATAGACAGAAATGGCTCTTCTCAGCAGCTTTTATCTGGCGAGACTTCGACGCGATCACAATACCCATTGACAGCCTATTACGTTGTCTGTAGCGACTCCGACCTCGTGAAATGAACGTGCTAGATCCAGGAAAGCTAGATTTGTAAGGCACATGATCATTCTCTCTCAACCTTGGAGATCGCCTCTTCCATCGTACACCGACACTACTTTCAGCTTTTTTTTAAGAGATAAGCGGTGATTTGTACCCTGTCGACGTTATTTGTACGCTACTCGCGTAAGTAGTTGGCCAGTCCAAAACACTTTCTTAAGTTCTTTTGGAACAGAGGTACTGACCAATTAACAATGGCCTTTACAATTGCGAAATCAGCCTTTATACCATCCAGCTCAGACAGAGAATATCGTCGGCACCAAAGCCGCACACGTCTAAGGTGGCAAATAGCATGTTTTAGCACGTGTACTCAAGCCCAACTCGCATGTGTCCAATGTGTCTTTTAGATTCGTCATTTAGCAAAATCGTCAAAATAGGTTTGTGCATAGCAACCATGTGGCCTGAGTTGTCCGCCTTCTTTGTGGATAAGCACCACACGAAAATCAAGAAGACATCGAAGACTTCTCCAGTGACCGAGTTGATTCTCGACGACAAAAACACGAGGCTTCTTAATATCTTCCCTGACCGTCTCGCGAAAGAACAAAAGAAGGTCGACAGAGTGTGCAAGCTGCTCGAGAAAGCCGCGAGCGAGGACTACGTCACGGAGAAGACGATCGAATGCCCGCTTGCCTTCAACAGCACAATGTTGCTGAAGATGGCAGGCAGCTAGGCTGAGATTGACGAGCTCGTACAGTTGCACACAATCAATCGTGTGATATCAGCGACGCAGCCGGATGAAGACTTAATGTAAACGGGGTGAAACGTAACAAAATCCCTTCAGCCAGAAGTCAAGAGGTCGGGAACGGACACGGTGTCCACAAAGTTCGAGCTGAGCTCACGTCGCGCTGTTGGTGCACTCCGTCCTTCCCGTCTTCCTACGCTGGGAAATGAGTATCCGACTCGTAATAGACTTCCTCCGAAACCTCTAGGAGGAAACCCGTCGTTTGGGGCGGGCGCGGTGTTTGGCGCTCGGTTGCCGAGGGCTTGGGATGTACTTACCATGATGCCGCGGACGTACTGCCCGGAGATGCATCCCGTGCAGAAGACGAAGAAAGGCTCTAACCGCGGGCGCCCTCGGAACCAGCTAGTCTGGGTGTTTTTCGTGCCATAGACACAGGAATCATTGAGTGGAGAATGTTTAAAAGTGGTATAGGGACGTAATGGTGTCTCAGACCCGTGGGCTTCGTATGAGGCGACAGTTAAATGTGGATTGTGGGCATACACATTTTTATGGTAACGGGGCTATACGTGCCCTTGTATGAAAGAGTGGGTTGCACAAGATTGCGTGAATGTACAAAGGTGTGGAATACATAAGTTGGTGTAATCATATAATGGTATGGCAACACCGTAACAAGAAGCCACTACGTTTCAGGACTGCCAGTAGTTATGCACATTGATTAGGTCTGACTATTTAATTAGGATAACCCAAGGTTTTAGATATAGGCGGCTCCGCCGCAAATAAACCAATTAAACACAGTTTTAATTTTGAACAGTAGAGCGTCTTTGCCTTAGTTAAGCTTTTTTTTATATTCTTGAAAGTAGCGGAATTCAAACCGCTACGCTCGTAATAGTTCTTGTTTAAAACATAAGATCGATGACCTTAGTAAGTTCCCTTTAAGCAAAAGACTGCGGTATCACCGCTGCACTGCAAGACCTAGAATCACCTTTACTATTGACATATCCATGACGGCCGTAAAAGTGAGCGCATTATCTATGCCATAAACTTACTCATTCTTGAACGCAACTAGACGTTCATTCAGACGCTCCACCGCGTCATTCGCATCCATTTCGGTCTCGAATACCCATTTACTGTAACATGTTGGACCCTGCCGGTTGCTTGATCACATTCCAGACGCCGTTGTTTTCGAGAGCTAGGATATCCTAGAGCATTGCCTTTCCCCAGCCTTCAGCTTTGAACTGCACATTGCCTCAGCATGTGTCTTTGGATCAGTCTCGTAAACTTGTATAACAGCT